ACCCAGAACTCAGAACAAAAATTGGTATATAATTATTCCTATATATTTTGTTTTAAGGTTATTTAAAGATAACTTTTATCGCTAAATTTATAAAAATTACAAAGGACCGAAAAGTTTCAAGAATTAATTCCTTTGGCATCTGGCATATTCTTTATAAGTGCAATTTGTGTTGTCATCGATTCTTTATATTTTGGAACATTAGAGCTCATGTATAATGGTGTTGTCTTGACTAAACACCATATAGTTGAATTTTTAAATAATCCAATAACATTACTTAAAATTGAGTGGCAGGTGAAGATTACTAAACTATTCACATCATTCATAGACATAAGTATATGTATAATAATAATTATATGTTTATGTTTTTTCTTGTAGGGAAATCTAATCTTTACACCGTTTAATAACATCCTTTACAATCTTGACTCTAATAATTTATCAGAGCATGGACTTCATCCTAGATACCTTCACATTTTCAATTTTACGCTTCTTTTTGGACCACTTGTGTTATTGACAATGAAGGATCTTAATATTAGTTTTAATTACATGAGACTTACGGCTAAGAAAAGATACAAGACTGGTAAGCTATTAAAATATATAATACCTTAATTATTTTATGAATTATTGGTTTGTGTTACCATTCAATATTTGTAATTAGATTGCTAATGTTAACAGCAAAAATTTTATCAAGTATTATTATTTGATATAATAATACTTATAGGGGACCAATTTTATACCCCCACATTTAATAAGCATACCCCCCTTAAAAAACAAACCATTAGAACAAAGATATCTCGGCAACCACCTGACCAAATTCGATAAATTATTTTTATTTTGAGTCTATGAGTTTAGTTGATTCGAATAAAAAAAATTTCATCGAATTTGGTCGGGTGGTAGTCGAGATATCTTTGCTCAAAGTTAAAAAAACCCCAAAACGTCTATCAAAATAATTCTTTAAAACTTTGAGCAAAGATATCTTGACAATCACCGGACCAAATTTGAAGAAGTTTTTTATTCGAATCTTCTAAACACATATAATCAAAATAAAAAAAAATCATCGAATTTGATCAGGTGGTTGTCGAGATAGCTTCGCTCAAAGTTTCAAAAAATCCAAAACGTCTATCAAAATATAAGTTATGCCAAAATTTTTTAAACCTTTGATCGAAAATGTCTCGATTTCCACTTAATAAAATTTGATGGTTCTTTTTTTATTTGAATCCTTTAATTTGATAGAATTCAAATAAAAAAAATTTCATCAAATTTGATCAGGTAGATGTCGAGATATTCTCGCTCAAAGTTTTTAAAAAACTATCAAAATAAAGAAGCTGTGCCAATTTTGTTTTAAAACTTTGAGCGAAGATATCTCGACAACCACCTGATCGAATTCGATGAAATTTTTTTATTTAAATTCTATGAAAATAAAGGATTCAAATAAAAAAAGTATGATTAGGTGGTTGTCAAGATATTTTCGCTCAAAGTTTTAAAAAAATTTGGCGCAGCTTTTTATTTTGATAGACGTTTTGGATTTTTTTGAAACTTTGAGCGAAGTTATCTTGACAATTACCAGATCAAATTCGATGAAACTTTTTTTTATTTTGATTATATGTGTTTAGACGATTCGAATAAAAAAACTTTCATCGAATTTGGTCTGGTGATTGTCTAGATATTTTTGTTCAAATGTTTAAAGAATTATTTTGATAGGCATTTTGTGTGTTTTTTTTTTTTAACTTTTGAGTAAAGATATCTCGACAACCGCCAGACCAAATTCGATGAAATTTTTTTTTCGAATCAACTAAAATTATATAATCAAGATAAAAAAAATTATCGAATTTGGTCAGGTGGTTGCCGAGATATCTTTGATCAAAGTTTTGTTTTTTTAGGGGGGGTATGAAAATTGGCTCCCTACTTATATTATACAACATTTACAATTCATAGAAACTTATCTAATAATTAATTCTGACAAATAACATACTTTACGTCCTTTAACAGTTATTATTTACAGCGGCCTGTGCGGGTTCATATTACTTTCATTGATACCACACCAAGAACCAAGATTTCTGTTACCACTTTTAGTTCCTGTTGTAGTAGTACCTTCAGATAGATTACAAAAATTACCAAAATTATTTTGGGTATGCTAACCATAATCATAACGATATAAATTTTTGATTGTAATTAAGAATCGATCCTAATTATTATTTATTATTTAAAAGCTTGCATGGGTAATATTTAATGTCATATTTGCAGTATTCTATGGTGGATTTCATCAAGCAGGAATTATACCGATAATTCAAAGATTACAGTATCAAGCGATTGGGTTCAGGAATTGTGAGGAATACGAAGGATCTGTTCGTTGTGAGATTGGTAAAAGGATTATTAGACCAGGTTTGTTTGTGAATAACTTAATTATTTCTTTAGACCTATAATAAAGGATTGTTACTTATTGATTAAATTGCTATTATAAATATAGTCATGAACTCTTCAGAGACTTTTATAACAAATATCATATTTTACAAAACTTATATGCCTCCACGTCATTTATTTGGGTATCCAGAAGCTTGGCGTGGTATTATAGTTTCTTATTTCATTTACATTTTACAAGGGTTATGTTTAAAATAGTATTTTTTAATACAAGTTTATAAAATTACAGACACAAGTATACAAGTTAATATTCACGATCTAGCCGGTCGACCAATTATGATCTTAGAAACTTTGTTATTGGAACAAGTTAGTCCAAAAAGACAATTAATCACGCCTAATTTGATGAGACACATCCATTTTCAACAACGTGTCGATGGCAACATTACTTTAAGACAATATGAAAGGTATTCTTAACGATAATGTTATTATTTAAAAAATAGGTCGAATTAAAAATCTCACATTATATTATTTTTGCGAATAGAACATTGTTAGTAACGCCTTCTACAACAGATTTGTCAATGTTTGAAGAGCACAGTGAGTTACGTCTAAACTCTGAAAATAAGAAAATTGAATTGGTGTTAGTTGATAAATATTGGCCGCATCTAAATTTTGATTATCTCGATAGAGTTTTTAAACATGGAATGTATTTAAATGTCTATGCTGTTACGCAAAGATGAATTATTTATTTGTAACAAAATTGTTTTCAAAAAAGAAAAAAAAATTTTTTTATTTCAAACCAAGTTATTACTAATATATGTGCAATTAAACGTGCAGAGTCGGTTTAACAATTTAATTAAACCTTACAATGAAATGCAATGCATCTTTATTTGAAACGTCTCCATTTACCACACTATTAAAAAATGAAAATATAAATTTATTACTTAAAAAATTAGAAAAATTTAAAAAAAAAATTTAGCCACATGTTGAGACAAACCGAATTATATATAATTAAAAGATAACTTTGAAAATTAATGATTAAGCTTAATTTACGATTAACCTTCAATTCAAAATTTTATCATAAAATAAAATTAAAGAATTACGAAAGTTTAAAGCGATCATTTGTAAAAAAAGCTGTAGGTCGCCCAGTTCCTTGACAGTATAAACAACAATTGTTAGAACTTAAAATTCTGGGTTCTATTGAAAATTTAATTATTAACAGCACGCTAGAGAATATTAAAAATTCAATTACTAATAGCACACCAGAGAATATTAAATATTCAATTACTAATAGCACGCCAGAGATGATACACCATATCGTCAAAACAAGAGCTTACTAAAATAAGGAAATCCGTTTCTTGGTATCCGAACAAAATAATTTATATATTGGGCTTCCTAAGATACTAGCATTACTGCATTAATAACGGTTCTTATAAAATTCTTAACAAAGTAGACAAATAAACATCGAAATTTACCTCAAACACGTTTATAGCATGTATTCGTTAAGAATGTAACAAGTAAACTTTATTCAAACCACGCATGCATTCGAATATTTCCTCATATATAGTAACTACACTCACTGTTAAAGCTAAAAATTCCAAATTCCAAACATAAATCATTCTAAATTCTAAATTCTAAATAAATCCAGCAACACATATTTCTTAAACCTTAAAACGTCCTACGTATTAATAAGTAAGTAAAATGATAAAATTACTATATTCATTTATATTTTTCCGTGTCATGCTAATTTATCATTTTGTTTAAATGATTTGAACCTAATTTTTTTTTTTCATTATCTATAGATGTTTATTTTTCATTCTATTTGATACGTATTTGCGATTACTACGTATAAATTTTTTTATTTTAACGCTATATATCATAATAATTATATACTATAAAAAGAATAAAAGAATGAAAGACGGATTAACCTAATACATGTTCATGCAAATAAACTTCGTAGTAGCGTAAAGCACAATCACGTACTTACGTACGTACGTACGTGTATGCGTACATGAGTACCACTTTTCGTATGACTTATTTTTTCCATAGCAGATAGTTATAATTTGTAAGTCCTACGTATCTACCAATGTACATACGTACTTACATTGGAATAATCATAGTTTGTATCTAGTTTGTATCCCCAATTTCCTTCCTTTTTAAGAAAAGAACGGTACATCTAATAAAATCTCCCACACTTATGTAATGAAGTTAGCATCAATATTTGTTTCATATAATCTTTATGTGGGTCGTGTCAAATAATCAAAATATGTATTACGTACTGTACAATTTCGCCGATCTAACATTTCAGTTAACACTTAATTACGATTCGTAAAAAAAAAAACTTTTTTTTTTTCCTCGTATATATATACATATATATATATATATGTATGTATATTTATATATATATATTTAAAGAAAAAAAAAAAAAAAGTAATTAAATCATCAATTACATTTGAAGAATGATAACATTTCTTACAGATTTAACAGATCAATTCCATATATATTTCTTGCATGAAAAACTTCCACCTAGACAGATAATTATCACGGGACATCTATAAGCAGTTTGTCCTTATTAACTAGCCACTCGAAAAATTTTTCTTGATTTCCAGATAGCCGGGAACTTTTTGTCATTTTGTCATTGTCTTAATATGGCGAAAGCTAAAGACAAAACTGCTGCACTTTACGGTATCGGTGACCATGTATGGGTACCGTGCAGGTCTACTATTTCCAAGAACGGTTTGCTCAAAAGTTCTGACGACCAAACCTCTGGTTCTATTCAAGCTGTTAAAATAACTTGCGATAAAATACGTTATTGGCCTGCTAAAATTATTTCAATCTTATTTACTGGAAACCGACAACTATTCTCATTTATTAGAGTTATGTCTAAAGATAATTTTCATTCTAAAACTCCTTCTGTGACAACAAGATATTTGGTTAAACTCGTGGGTCTAGATATAAACCAAGAATTTATAGAACAAGCTCTTATTTCTTGGAATACTTTTGATCCTAAACCTTTACCGGATGTCTCAATTTCTCTTAATTTCAATTTATTCAAAAAACAATTATCAGATTTATCTTCTTATGAAATAATTGCTCTTTATGTTCATTCGGTAAGAAAAGTTTCCAAAGAAATTGAACTAGCCGTTAGGGCACGTGACCGAGATTCTATAACTTCCGTTAAAAACGTTAAGCGTATAAAGACTTTTCATGACGAGAAAGGAATTCAAGATTCAATGAAAAATATGTCACAAAAAAATTCGAGATCAAAAAAAGGCAAAAAAGGAGCGTCAACATGTGGCAAGAAATCTTTACCAAAAAAGTCACTCGCAAAGGCCTCTTCTTCTGTTGATTCAATTTCTAAATCTCTAATTACTGAAACTCGTTCATTCCATGAATCAAAATTTGATTCGAATCCTTCGAAAGAAATTCCTGAAAGTAATCTCTTTGAAGATAAATTTCAAAAGCATTCAACTAACAACTACAATGATAGTAATAATCATGCTATTAAAACAAAATTTATAAAATCCATCGGCTATGTTACCATAGATAATAATTTGTTTAGAACAACAAGAAGAGGTAAAGTTTTCGGCAAGTGGCGGCCCTCTAAAAAATCCCGCCTATCTGAAGAAACAAGCACGAACGAAAAGAATGAATCCGATGATAATTCTAATCAAGAAGTTATGGATGTCAGTAAGCATAAAAATAAAGAAAATCCATGCATCCTACATACAACGGAATCTAATGAATCACATGAAAGCGATGATTGTGAATCTATTACTCCGTGCACCCTACATACAACAGAATCTCATGAATCACATGAAAGCGATGACTGTGAATCTATTATGGATATTGATAAAACAGAAAAAGAAGATACTATGAAGCCTGAAGTGGTCGAGCAGCAGCAGCAAGCTGATGAGAACTCAATGTCGGTTTTTTCTTCACCTTTACAATCTTTTCGTTCTGCGGTGTTGGGGCTCAACATTTTTTCGTGGAGTAATAAAGAAAAATCATCGTTTCTGAAGTAAAGCTAGATGTTAAAAGTAAATTTCATTGTTGTATGCAATCAAGGATGCTGCTTAATATTTTCAATTTTGGTTTTATTATCATTACGAATAACTTGTGACTAGTAATAGTCACATGAAAATCTACAATATGCTTTAACTTTAGATTAGTTTTGGTTTTCTTGTCGTTAACTTTAAAATTTTAGTATATATGAAGTAAAAATTGTTTTACATTAACACAGTATAAATCAAAAAGTGTAAGTGCTTATACGATGGCTTTATAGTGACATTTAAGTGATTAAGGGATCACCTTTTAACCATTTAAGTGTTCATATTTCATTGGAAATTTGGAAATCTTTTTTTTTTTTTAAAAAAAAAGTATTGTTGTAACGATTCGTTTACTTATAAAAGAGCAAATAAATAACTTTAAAATTTTGTTAAAATTCAAACGCCATATCTCCATCTTTTTTTAATAATTCAATCATTCCTTCTGGTAATAATGGTACAAGATTTAGTTTTAGTTCGTCCGTTGTTGTTTGTAAAGTTGATTGGCTTGGATGTGGAATAGTAATGTAGCGGAATGGCATGATCTTGAAAAATATAAAATCAAAAGTTTCCAATGAACGAATAAGTTTTTTTTTTTTTTTTTCTAAGAAATTAAGAACTCAAATCTTGTAAATTCCGAAAAATATCAAAAAGCATTTACCACTGACTCTTTTGCACTAATTTGTATTTCAGGAAAATCGATATAAGGAATTTGGTCAATGGCGACTTGCAGAATGTAGAAAATGATAAAAAAATGATAAGAAAACGATAAAAGGAAAAAATAGTTGAAAGTGAACTTGTTTCAAATAAGCATAATATAAACAAACCTTTGTCTTCTACGACCCTTTTTGTAACATTTATGGCAGTATCAGTTGTCATTTGCATATTCCCTAGACTTCTTGTTTTAAATCCGTGCTTTCTCAACTCGCATGTTCTATCTTAATAATTTTTTGAAATAATGTTTTATAATCATTTTTACAAAATTAAGCCCATTAGTAATCTATCGTTAAATTCACTCACCTCTCGGAGGATCATCGCCCAGAATTCCACCGAATAAAAAATATTCAAAATCACTCCCGTCCTCAGGCTTTAAAATGTTTTTTGCAGACGGATCCAAAAGACAAATCTTATCCTTTGCAAAACTCAAATCAATGATATGATTTGTAAAGAAATTTGCTCCCTGAAGTTTCTTGATATCTAGAAGTGTCGATTCAGCAGCTTTTGATAGATTTGTGAAATAAAGGTTTGAAGTAGGAATGAAAGTTGATATATGACAATACTCTAAAATACACCATTCATGCAAATTATCTTCCATATGTTCTATTTAATGAAAAAAAAATTTTTTAATAAAAAATAAATGGATTGATGATACAATTGGCCATGTGCAAAAGATTAGATACGATACCTATGATATATTTAAAAGACATTATAATAATAACTTTAATTAAGAGATATTGACGTTAATAGAAAGATGGAGTTTTTTGCTGATGAAAATAAAATCCAGCTTGAAATTCCTTGATCTCGATTAGCCCGTACGATAAATGTCCAATGATCTGCATTTGTACGTATACAATAATTTTGGCCTCATAAAATTAACATTAATATAAAATTTTTAAGCCACCTTTTTAAATAAATTTAAAATTCATATATATATGTTTTCTAAATTTTGAAATTATGTAAAATTTTTAATTAAAAGTTTCTTTATCTAAAAGCTGCTAGATTCTGCTTCGTACCATCACGGAACTGAACTTCGATTAAAGTCACACCGTAGGGGAATTTCCGATTTTAAGATATTGATTTAATTACGTTATATATATTTTAAATATATATAACAATAAAGTGATCGACAATATTTTTATGTATAATCCCAAAATTAGAAATCGCGAATATTTTTTTTTCTACAGTACGTACTAATGATGCGCTAAAACTTATGTCGTAACTAGTTACGACAGTCATTGGGAGATTCTACTGCATCACTAGTACGTACGTTAAATCTATAGCGATAGTGATATCAATTGTCATTTTGTTCGGAGAACTTTATTAATCATTATATGATTTACATGATACAATGTTTAATATTAATCCTACCAACATTAGGACTAATTTATCTCTGAGCTATTCTCTACCTAGAAATTTACCTTCGCAAGTATTTAACCAGGACCTACTTTATTTTGCATAATTTATGCATTCCCCACATCTCTTATACTGATCCTAATGACTCCCAGACAGGGCTTCTATAGCATTTGTAATTATTTGCTCAAATTACTTCCTGTTTGGTGTTGAAGAAGGTGCCAGATTCTCTATCAAGATAATCTTGTCTTCATACTATAGATCTTACCTGGGTTGAAAAATAGCGACCCAAGTTGAACCTTTTTGATCCAGGTTAAGGCCAATAACTTTTTCAGATTTCATTTCAGAAAAATTTCTCTGTCTTGCTTATGATTTAAGTTCTTTTATTTATCACTTTGGAAAAACTAAAAAAACTAAGTAACTGACCCAAGTTTTAGCATTTAAAAAATCTGTTAGGTTATGCATGTTGCAATCATCATGTAACAATTGTCTAAATACCCAAGCCATGATGAAAATTTTCAAACTTTGAGTAAAATATTTCAATAACTACCTATCTAAAATTTATATAAATTTTTATTTTAGTTCTATAAACCAATAGAATTAAATTAAAACTTTTTTATTAATTTTAGATAAGTAATTATTGAATTGTTATTGCTCAAAGTTTGAAAAAACTTATTCATGATCTTGTTTGATAATTGTCCAAATTTATTTTGAATTTTGAGTAACATTATCTGGATAACTACCTATCTAAAATCGATGAAATTTTTTTTATTATAATTATATATATATATAATTAAAATAAAATATTTTATTGAAGTTTAAATAAGTAGCTATTGAGATATCATTGCTCAAAGTTCAAAAAAAATTTAGATGATTATCAATACAAAGACCACAACTAAGTTTTTTTAAACTTCAAGCAATAATATCTTAATAACTATCTATCTAAATTCGATAAAACTTTTTTGTTATAATTAATTGTTTTATAGAGTTAAAATAAAAATTTATACTAATTTTAAACAAGTAGTTATTGAGATATTTTTGCTCAAAGTTGAAGATTTTTGTTATAATTAAGAACTTAGACAATCATTACATAATAATTAACAATATATATAATCTAGCATAGATTTTTTTTAAATACCAATTTTTTAATTCACCAAGATTTTGATTAGGGTGTTTAGAATTATATAAAAGTATCCCTTAAATTGTTTTGCAGTCAAATTTGCCTGCAAACTTTTTTAAATTTTAAATTTTTCTAATAAAATTTTAAATATTAATTTTAGCTATATATTTT